GATGCTATCGAGAAGATTCAAAAAAGATTTCTGAAATATTTGGTTTTCAAAAGAACTGAAATGTACCCATTACCAGGCTCTGACTAAATTGAACTTTGCAAAAAATTTAACTTCTTAACAGTTGCCGAACGTCGTTTTTTATCTCAATCAACATTACTATTTAAATTAATTAATAATAATATAGATTGTTCAAAATTACTAGCACTAATTGATTTCAGAGTTCCTCGTGAGTTCCAGATATTATCAACCTTTCGCAGTACCTATGCCTAATTCGGCAATTGGTTTTTCTGCCCCTATCTATAATATGTGCAACACCATAAATGTAATGTGTGTTTATCACAACATAGATCTAGATTTCTCTTACTTGTCCTTACTCTCATATAAAGATAAACTCACAGAGTATATTGTATCTACGAGATAATTTCAATTTAACATAACATAATAATGTTTTCCTTTTAGGGTTCCGTACCCGGTAGGAACCCTATTGGAACTGTATATTCAAAAATGACCATGTACCCCCCCCCCTAGCACTTACAGTTTTACACCTAGAGAGCTAAAAATTGGTACACGTATGTAATTTCACGCGTAGATTACAGGAAAAATATAGCGAACGTGATTGGGATTGATCTTCATAGAGTTTTCGACGAAAAACAAATTTGTCCATTTTTCGCAAAAAAAGGCATGTACCCCCCCTAGCGCTCACAGTTTTTTACCTAGAAAGTTGAAAATTGGTATGCATATGTATTTTCAAAAATGGATTAAAGGAAAAATATAGCGAACACATTTAGTATTGATCTTCATTCTGTTTTTATCGAAAAAGTCAAAAATTTTGAAAATTTCGAAAAAAATCCATGTACCCCCCCTGGCGCCTACATTTTTTCACCTGGAGAGCTGAAAATTAGCATACTTATTCGTTTTTACGCATAGATTACAGGAAAAATATAGCGGAAGTGATTAAAATTTATTTTCATGGTGTTTTCATCGAAAAACTAAAATCTCTTTTTGCAAGCTCGAAAATTCTTTAACCGTTGCTGGTTTTCTCAATTCTTAATCTAGTGGACTGGCGTTATACATTTTTATTTGTTTTTTCGTGCAGATTTCAACAAACATACAGAAAAAATTATCAGAGTTCATCTTCATATTTTTTTTGCGAGAAACTAAAAAATTTTTTCGTTTTAGAAAAAAAAGTGTGTACCCTCCCCTTGGTTTTCACAATTCTTGGCCTATTGGACTACAGTTTTGCTTATATTATGTATTTTCATGTGTAGATTTCAGTAAAAAAAACACCGAACATGATTGGATTTTATCTTCATATTTTTTTTAGCGAAAAACTCAAAGTTTTTAAAAATTTCGTCAAAAATGCGTGTTTTTTACTATAGCGCCCACAGTTTTTTACCTGAAGAGATGAAAATTAATTATTTATTTATTTTCACTTGTAGATTACAGAAAAAATACAGCGAAAAATATTGAAGTTGATCTTTATATTTTTTCAGCAAAAAAGTAGAAGTTTTAAACGTGGGTACGGAACCCTCGGTTTTAGTACGAGTTCTACTCGCACTTGTCCGGTTTTTGTTTCGTTATGATTTAATTTTCTCTATCCTGTTTAATTCGCAGTTGTTTTATAACGACGTCATTATAAGGTTATGCGTCTTCTATACCAAAATAAAAAGTTATATAAGTTTATTTTTCAAATTTTTTTTCTTTAATTATAAGTAAATTACGAAGTTTTGTTTTCCTTTAATTTCTTATTACACTTACGTAACCTTACAACTTTTGTAATTTTGTTTTCTCTGTATTGCCCTTTGATGGTTTTTACCGTGGGCTTGATAATCGTGCAAATAAAAAAAAATAAATAAAAAAAATAAAAAACGCGAAATTTTTCTTCAGTGCGTATACATTTTTTGTCAAAAACATATTTTATTATTATTATTATATAATTATCAAATAATAATATTATTAATAGCATAATATAAATATTGATTTTATAAAGAAATTGTTTTTTTAATTAAATGTTGTGTTTAGGAACTCTTCCATGGTAAAACTTTTTATTCATATTATATTTTTTTCTCGATAGTACATTTTCTAATCTTTCTAACGATACAAGTTTCATTGAAATCGGTTTAGCCAATTTCGAGAAATTGAATTTTTTCTAAAACGCTGCAAAAAAGTTTAATTGTTTATCAAAATTACAAAAATTAAAATTTTGAAAAATCGTTTGGAGGTGTTATTAGTGACATTATGGACTATCAAAATATATAAGTATCATTTATGTTCATTAACCAAAAGAAAATAAGGGGGCCACTTCAGGAATTCTTACCCATTGATAAAAAATAGGTCAAATTAAACGTGGATTTTGACGTAATGTAAGGGCCCACATGGAGACTACTTTTAACCTATAGGTTAAAAAATAGGTCAAATTAGACATAGAATTTGAAATAATGTGAGTCCGTTATTGGGCATAGAGATATTAGAATAGAGTGCGCAAGCGACCAAAATGTTTCTTAGGCGCATAGACGGAGACAGCCATACGAAAAGAAGACCCCTTTCCTTTCTTTCTCTAATAACGCATGCGCGATAATGAAACAGCTGATGCATCGAAACAACTGTTGCTTGCTTGCAATTATATTTTTCTTTTATTTACATGACAAATAAATAATTTAAAATAAATTTAAAATTAAAATAAAACATTTATAATATTCAAAACAATTTTTCATGCGATCTTTTTAGACAAAAACCTAACCAAAAACTTTCATTCTTGCACATGCGCCAATAAACAAGGTAAGAAAAGGGGTCTACTTTCATGCTTTTGTCTCTTTCTATGCGCCTAAGAATGCCTCTCACGGTAAAAGGTATAACTCGCGCACTCTATTCTAATAACTCTATGTTATTAGGCCTCTTTTTGACCTATAGGTCAAAAAATAGGTTAATTTTGACATAAGTTTTGACGGACCCTTTGGGAAAGGGCGCCCTTACAGAATCTTGAAACAGCGGCGGCGGCGATATCTTTTTGTAATATAGGTAGATATATATGAGGCATTTTACGTGAAATGTCCTAAGTTGAAATTTCAACTTTTTGAAAAAAATTGAAACTCAGGGAATTTGTTGTTCTATCAAGTAGAAATGTGCCCCAAAAAATATTTTTGATTTTTTTGAAAATTTTGAGGGGGTAGAGGGGGGTCAATTTGACCAATTTTGCTAACACCGGCTACTTTGTAAATTTTTTCTGAACATACTTTTAGTGGGAAAAATTTTGTAGAATATGTTTCTGAAAGGTTTTTTCGTCCTCTTTCTAATGGTGAATTTTATTTTTTAATATTTTAAAAATTGACCCAAATTTTTGATAATTAATTTTTAATTTCTCGAAAATCGGTCCGTTTTATTTGAAAATAAATTATTGCAAACGAAAGCTGAGGTTTTTTCCTATCGGCATGTAAATTTGCAGAATGCCTTTTTTTTGTTTTTGAGTTATTAAATTTCAAAGAATAAATTGCGGCGCGCTGCGTCGCGGTTACACTGAGCCGCGTGGCACCCGGCGTGACACGAGGACCCATTTGTGCCCTCAACAATTATAATCTTTTAAAAATATATATTTTTTGTCAAACACTGCTAAGCAAATTTTCATATTTACTTTCCTATTACCTAAACATTAAAGAAGCAGTTCATTTACATTCCACATTTTTCAGAGATATTGTCGAATAAAAATATGTTTACATTTAGGGTAATGTCACATTGAGTGGACCGCCACTTTGAGTGGACCACCTGAGTTTTTAAGTTATCTTACAGCGGAAACGTGAAATAAATAAAACGAATAGCAGCACCGCACCTAGAAACAGTAAGAATTTATGTTCCGCGATAATCATACACGTTATTGTTTGATGTAACGCATTTTTAAGAACACAAACCAAAAAAGAAGTCGCTCTTACAATGAGTAAAGTGATTCGGAAGTGTAAAAGTAGTGTAAAATTTAAGTTTTAAAAGGTAACTTATTTTTTTCCTACTACTTTGGACATTGAAATTGATTGTCTTAGTTTAATTAAGTGATAATTTTGACTCAAAAAAAATTTTGGTGTCTGCCATAAAAAGTTGCATGTCACCATGAGTGGACCACTGTTTATAACCATGACTGGACTGCCTGTTTTTTATATTTTTAATGTCAGTTTACCATTTTTATGGAAATAAATTGGTTTGAAACTGTTTTATGTTCTTTATTAATTTTTTTGTGATTTTGATGTGATATGTGCCAAAATTATTGAAAATGGTTTCACTTGTAAACATTGCGATACAAACATGGTCTGAAGCTGCATAAGCATAAATTTTGTTTCAATATATCAGAAATATTAAATACATTAAAGAATTTAGAATAACTTTTACAATTTTTTAAGAGTGGTCCACTCAAGGTTACACTTTTTTCATTCCTTAAAAATGAGCTATTTTTTTAAAGTCAATTGTTTTTCCCAAATAAAAAAAAATCAATGCTATTATGGTACAAACACTTATCTAGGGATCTAAACTAAAGCTTGGAATAGAAACCTCCGATTAATTTGCTGTCATAAAGAATTTTTTAGAAAAAAAGTCTTAGGCGGTCCACTCAAGGTGACATTACCCTAATTATTTTTTTTACTCATCTTTTCAAAATGAACAAAAGAGGAAATGAGCTTTTAAAAATCAATCACTTGCCAGTAACATTTCTCGTAATTGGGCACCGCAAGGAATTGAAGTGCATTCACTTGGAGAAGATGAGTAAATCGGGACAATTGAGAGAAAAAAAACCAAATCCATTATTATTTCTTTTTTTACTTATTAAAGAGAAAATTATTTCATAAATCCGTTATTCTATTACAATAAAAAAAATTTCTCTACTGTGATAACTGTGCTAATTATAGTTTTTTTTAAGAGGGAGAGTAAGAGAAATTAAAAAAATTTAAAACTTAAGAAGAAAATTTCATTATGGAATTGAATGGATATTTGAATAAAATCTCTTTTTCGGGTTTTTTTTGCAGATTTTGAGGGACATCCGACAGGGATTAATGCAGTTGGGTCGAGACGGTCGAGGTCAGCTTCCTGGTGGTTAGTACATGAATATTTACTAAAGTACTTCGTTGACCTCAGTTTAGTTGTTTCCTGTGCTCCTTTAGAATGTTTGTTTGAACTCAGTAAATCCTCCTACAACGTCAAATAACTCAAACACGTGACAACAAACAATGCGATCTATTCCCAAATGACACCTCTCTTGATCCTTTATTATTTAAAGCAAATCTAGAATGATAATAATATGTGTATTTTTCTCCTCTCTCCTTTTTTCACTCCAGTCATCTTTTTTTTCTTCTTCTTTTTTTTCTTTCTGGGTCAAAATAAGTGAAAACAGCCACTTGAAAAACTTTTGTCTCCGATATTCAAGTTATCTATGTTTTTTGATAGATATAGGTTTCATGAATTATAACTGTGGATTTGAATAATGTAATATTTTATTAAGAGAAAGTAAAATGTAAAAACAATTTTGGTGTTAATATGTCATAAATTTTGTTATTGTTAAAATATTATACGTGAAATTATTTTATTCTAAATTTTAAATTTAAAACTAAGTTAGCGGCTTTACCCCGAGTGTATTCCTCACATTTCAGAATAAATTTAATTAAATATTTTTGAAATAAGACAAAACTATATATATATATGTACTTCGAAGAAGGACATCCAATAGCAACAACAAAAAATTTGCCAAATAAATTAAGTCTCAAAAATAATGATAGGAAAACTTAAAAATCCAAAAAACGTTTTTTTTGACACCTTCAAAAACATTTAATCGCCTCTGATTCTATGTTAGATTCATGAAACTAAACGAAAGTTTGTTAATATAAGTTGAATGTTAAGTACTATTCACAGTACCAATATCTCCATCTTAAGTTGAGTTCATAGCGTCAAATCGCTAGTGAGCGGGTTTACCCCAGTCTCCCCTATTGTTTTACTTTTTAAAAATTCAAGAAACATTTTATTTAGAAAGATCGAGACAAAATTTTTTTAATACCTTTTATGTATTATTAGTGAGAAATTTTTAAAACGGTTTTTTTCCCTTCGCAATTATTCTTCAATTTTTATACTTTTTCGTTCTGCTCGTTACTTCTTTTTGTAATTATTTTCAACTTTTCATTTTCCAATGGGAAATTTACAACTGGCGAATTACTGCGCCAGCACTGTCAGTACTGGCATAACGCTGTCTAGCGTTGGCGAAGTACTGCCTGTCAGTGCTGCCAGACAGCGCTGGCGCAGCAGCTGTAAATTAATAATTATAAATAATTTAACAACAAACTGGTAAATAATATTGATAAACAGTTGTTATTCATAAAATATTCCTCTTCTTGATTTAATTGTATTAAAGATGAAGACCTAGCAATGGATATAATAAATAAAGTAGAAAAAAATTGTTTATAACATTTAAAAATTAAATAATTTACGGCAGTTACAGTATGTGCGTATTAGATTTTCATATTTTAGTACCTAACCAGTCTCCCCTACAGTTTTCTTACTGAACCTGTACATCTGAACTATTATGTGTAGAAAAATTTCGGGGCAGTCTGGAGTCCAGTGATTGCCCCAACTAGACGCATCTGTACGGTCTAATCTGGACGGTTTAACTGTATGCTATATGGGATTTTTCTGGACGGTCTAATTTAGACTTTCTAACTGTATGCTATATGAGATTTTTCTGGACGGTCTAATTTAGACTGTCTAACTGTATGCTATATGGGACTTCATTGGCATCACTAGAATTCAAAATTTTTAAAGTACAAATCAAAGTACAATCAAGACTTTAGTGCACGATTTGTCAGTCTTCTTTGAATTTATACATGGATTGTCACTTCGAAACTCAATGGAATAATTTAGTCAATCTAAAGAATCGTTCAAAAATAAATATTGTAGGTTTATATGAATTATTATAAATAAAATTTTCAATGAATTTAATTAAAAATTCTAAAGAACTTAGATTTTTGAAAAATGCCTAATAATTCAAATTCTCCTGAAATTAGATAAATTTTTTAATATATTGTATTTGATTAATTATTAAAAATAATTTATCTGTACCCGTGTGGAAAAATATTGTGGCAGTCTAGAGTCCAATGATTTCCCGATTAGAAATCATCAAGTCCGTCTAATTCTATACGGTCCATCAATTCCCGAATCACTGACTTAACAGATGGGCTTATTAGAAAAAATCTAAGTCAAATATGTCCGTCTAATACGGTATTATTAAGACCGTCTAGATTTGGTCTATGATGTTATATGCGCATGCGTCGATGTATGCCCAGCTGTTAAGTAACATGGCGCCTAATGGCGTCGCGTCGTTTGGCGTCGTTAGATCAGTCAGCGTATGGTACATTTTCTTTGTGAATTTTAGAATTCGTTGTGGTTTCTGTTTTATGTGAATGTTGAATTTTATGTGCTATGTTGTTGCTGTTTTCTGTATAATTTAATTTTAAATGTGCACTGGAAAAAATAGATTTTGATGTGTTTCTATGTGTTTTGATTAGTCGGCTGAAGCTAGCAGTCGTACTCAGCATCAATGTTTAGGCGTCATCTACAAATACGCCTCTCCTTCAAATTTAGTAACACTTAATGATTTAAAAAACCATCGAGTATTGTTATTTGTGAATCAATATCCACTAAATAGCAAATTTAGTAAGTTTTTATTTATTAATTTCATTAATTAGTGGTTGACGCCTAAAGATTGATGCTGAGTACGACTGCTAGTTTTATCCGGCTGTTTTGATTTGCAGTAAATTTTATTTTACAAAAGACTACTATCTCCAATGCCATAGATTGGGAGGGACACAAAGCCTTACGCTTAAAGAAAGTTGAAGTGAAAAATACAGAAAGTTAAAATATTTTTTTATACTTTTTATGTAAAAAAAGTCATTAAAATTATTTCAAATATAATTAAGTCTTATCATTCTAAGAATAGTTGTCGTAACATGTAAAGAGAAATTTGGAATAGACGTATATTAGAATTTACTAGCACTGCTGATCAGACCAGAAACGCTGTGCTATTCTAGACGATAGCGTGGAAGTTTCGTTTCAGTTCTGAACAGCCGCTCGACAAGACCGTCTGCCCTGGGTCTAGAAAGACGTTAGACAGTCTATTAAGCGCTTGGTCAGCGCCCTAAAATTTTTCCACACGGGTAGAAGAATTTTAGTTAAAAACACTATAAACAATTGAGTGTTGGAGAAGTTACAGATTATTGTAGAAATTTAATTATTTTCAAAAGTATCAAAATTCTACACAGAAATTCAATTATGTTTAAAAATTTTTTTAAATTCTCATCAAAATTTCAATTATCTTTATAAATAATAAAATCGTTCTCTGAAATTCAATTATTTTCAAAATTTTTAACAAGATTCTTGTCAAAATAAAATGTAAGCAAAAATTTAATTACTTTCATAAATAAAAAACCTTTCACAAAAATTCAATAAGTATTTACAAATTCTTTATAAGTTTCTTCTCAATAATTCAATTATTTTTATAAATAATAAAATTCTCAGAATTCTTTTATTATTAAAAATTTCTTAGTTAATCTCAGAATTTCTTAATTATCTTTAATACAATTTTAATCGAATTCTTCGATAAGTGTATAATTATACTTAAGAATTCTATTGAAATTCGTCATAAGAATTCAATTATTTAAAAATTTTTTGATAAAACTGAAAGTAATACTTAAAAAATTGTTTAATGATTATAATTGTAGTAAGAATTATTTATTTAAATATTTATATATAATAATTAAAATAATTCGGGATTATTATGTGTAATAATTTTAGTCATAGTTTTTACTTCGTCCTTATAAGCAACAGAATATATGACACTGGCATTGATATAGTAAATTAGGAGAGTTCACACCCAGACTTCAGTGGCCGTGCGGTTTAAATGCTTCGAGTCGGGTCGTCAAGGGTGGGGGGCGTGAGTTCGATCCCACATGCGAGCGGATATTTTTCATTGTAAGTGTTATATAAAATAATAAAATTACTATATTTAATCTGTATAAGTGTTATAAATTAAAATTATAAACATGTTTGTAAATAATGTTAAAGGTCTGTTGAAGAATGAATTTAAAAAATGTACAAATTGACGCAAATTGTTTTTTTATTAAAATTATTTTTTAATATTACTATTTTAAATGATATTTACTGCTAGTGTAGTATATTATTTATTTTAAAATAATATAATTATTAGATTAATAAGTTATTGTTATTAAATATATGTATGAACAACAATAATATTTATTATTATTATTAATAATTCATATATTCACATTACATTGAATAAACGTGAGAACCGAGTAAATTTGGGTAGATTATTTAAAATTAAAAAACTGAAATATTGAAATCGAACATAAAATTTTAAATATTAGCACTGCTCATTAGCCCTGATTAGCTCGTCCAGTCTGGACCAACGCGTGGTTCGATCGTCACTGGTCTGATTAGCCCATGGTCAGACAGTCTTTTCAGCGCCCAGTTAGAGAATAGACTGTCTTTCTGGCACCAGACTAGAACCCAACAATTTTTCTACACGGGTAATGATTCCAAAAAATAAATTTTAACACGAGTAACTATAGTAATCGTTCCTACTCAATTGTTAATACATTACATACCGTGGTTATACCTGTTTCCGTCCATCTAAGGCTTAAACTCACACATAATACCTTGAAAACAATGGTTTTTCTCCTAAAATGTGCAATATTTTTTATAGAAAGTATAATTTATACTGTCTTTTTTTATTTAAAATAATTTGTCACTTTCAATGCATGAACAACTAATTCTTATATAATAATATAAATTATACTTTTTATGGATCAATTTCCGTCCACTAAAATTCGTTTGCCCTAGTATCCGTCCAGTGATTGTCCCAGTTTCCGTACAGGAATATATTAGGTATTGTTAGTAAGTAAAAATCTTAAAATTTCAATTAAAACATCTTTTAAAATATTTTAACAATATATATATATATATATATATATATATATATATATATATATATTAGGGGGGCTTCGCCCCCCTTAATATGAATGCATCTTAATAAA